GTTAAGCCACTTGGAATTAATGAGTACTGGGTAAAAATCTAAACTGCCTACTTGCCACCCCAACTCACAACACTATGATATGCAAAGATGGATTGAAAGAAAAAAACACTCATCCCCGTCTCTTCCTTTCTCTGAAGGTAAGATCCTACGCAAAGTTGCCTGCCCACATTCAGAATCAGGAAATCAAAATTTTCCCTGTTTTTACAAGTATTTTATGAAACTACACTCTTCCCTCAGTATGAGCCAGCAACACAGATGATTAAGACATTTGCAAGGCTTTGCAGAAATACCGCATTTTAATACGACTGATACATTTTAAAAGGAAGTACTATACTAGAGGGGAAAGGGTCACTGGCAATTCAGTAGGTGGCACTATTCTTCTCTCTGTTAAATGTATGACTCCCAACTGTGCACTGTGGTTAAGCTTAAGGGCTAAGCTTTACTGTAAGGAAATGGAGAACTTGATATTGCCACAAGGAATCTTGGACTGTTTTCTTAACTTTTCTAAGCCCAGTTTCTCATCTGTAAAATGAGAATAGTAACCAAAACCTTACTGAGTTGCTGTAAAGAATTAAGATTTGAATTAACACAATGACTGACACATGACAGCTATTATGATTTAGGACTATTTCTTTCAGCCACGACTCCTGAATCACAAATGTAAATAAAGATGAGAAAGATGTGCTCTTCACAAAACTGAGTAAAAAGCCAAAGCTTCAGACGGCAAGTCATATCTGTATACAGTGCACCCACTGAATATAAGGGCCTGATCATCCATGAGAAGTCCCATGCATTTACACAAAAAGTACCCTAGAGTTTGCAATCATGAAGACCACTTATGAACCTTATCTCTTAGCATTTTGCCTCAGCATCTCAAACTGAGCAATGCTTCTTTTAGAAAGGAACTAATCTCTTGGTTTTTCAGTATCTCATTATTGATGGCTTAATTTTCTCTATATAGCTATGCCATACAAACGAAAGTTGAGTTTACATGCCTCAATGACATTTTTCCAACTTCTCTGCTTGCCCTCTCCCCAGTTTGGCCAAACACGGAGCAGCTTCTTAAATTTCCTGTTGTCATTCACCTTGTTCTTGCCTGAAAGCTGAAGTGGTACTACAGCATTCATTCCTGCACTGATGAATTGGCTTGGATAGCTAGATGCCAAGATTATTAAGTTTTTGTAACCAATGTATAAAGATTTTTCTGTAAATCAATATATAAAATCAACAGCTTAAGGTTATCACTTGAATTCAAGTGTTCCTGATACACCCTATGTTCAGATTTTAGGACATTAATAATTTACCATCAAGGCCGGACACTGGCTCATGCCTATAATCCCAGCACTCTGGGATGCCAAGGCAGGAGGATCGCTTGAGCCCAGGAGTTTGAGATTAGCCTGGGCAGCATAGTGAGCGCCTTCCTCCACAAAAAATTTTAAAAATTAGCCAGGCGCAGTTGTTCACGCCTGTGGTCTCAGCTCCTTGGGAGGTTGAAGCAGGAGGACCATCTGAACCCAGGAGCTCAAGCTTACAGTAAGCTATGAACATGCCATTCACTGTACTACAGCCTGGTTGACAAAATGAGATCTTTATTTCTCAAAAAAATGAAACAAAAAATATATCGGTGTTTAACATTCTGATTATCACAATTCCCATTTAAACTTTTTTAAAGCTCTTCAGGGCCTGATTGTCACAATTCCCATTTAAACTTTTTTTAAAGCTCTTCAGGGCAAAGCCAATAAGTTAATAAACACATAATCTAACAAGGTAACACAAAACAGGCTTTTCAAGTCACCAAAAAATAACAGATCACTTCCATCTCCATGTGTTTTTTTTTTTTTGGCACCATTTTTACTACCTAGAATGACCTTCCTCAACTACAGTTTCTCCTTAATACGCTTCCCCAGGAAGAAATCATCTCCATTCCTCCTCTGTCCTTCCCATCAATTTTTCCAATCAGTATTTTCTACTTACCTGTCTTACCTGTTCTCACCTTATTTTTGCTAGTACCACAGGTTTCTCCACCCTGGTACCATTTATAGCAGGTCTAGAAAGCAACCTCTCTAGACTGAAGCAGGGAAAAGGAGAAGGAAAGCTCCAGGAGGGGTTTGTCTCAGGGGTGAAGACAAAATGAATACACTTGACTGCATGGAAATGAATTGAGAGGCTTTACTTACAGAGCTGTCAGAGTGGGAAATCTTAGCCAGACCTAAGAATATTAAGCAAACTGGCCGGGCGCGGTGGCTCAAGCCTGTAATCCCAGCACTTTGGGAGGCCGAGACAGGCGGATCACGAGGTCAGGAGATCGAGACCATCCTGGATAACACGGTGAAACCCTGTCTCTACCAAAAAATACAAAAACTAGCCGGGCGAGGTGACGGGCGCCTGTAGTCCCAGCTACTCGGGAGGCTGACGCAGGAGAATGGCGTAAACCCGGGAGGCGGAGTTTGCAGTGAGCTGAGATCCGGTCACTGCACCCCAGCCTGGGCGACAGAGTGAGACTCCGTCTCAAAAAAAAAAAAAAAAAAAAAAAAAAAAGAATATTAAGCAAACAAGAGGGACAACTGCAATTTTCAGTCCAAGAAAACAAGAAAAACAAAGCTGAATAAGAAATGTAACCACACTACTTTAATTGGCTCAATACTGAGTTATATTTAAAAGTCAAAATAATTAAAAACGAAAATACGGATCTAAACAAAAACTGTTCTAGAACTACATGAGGAAGATGGGGGAGAGGAAAGACCACGTAAGAGAGAGAAAATCCCTACCTACCATGATAGGAGTTCAGCATATAATGTTTCCTAAAATTAATGGAGCACACAAATACTATTAGGAAACAAGGATGTAAATGCTAAAATCAACACCTAAAACAGATTATTTCCATAGCTTCTGGGAAGCAGATGGAAGACCGGACAGGAGCCTGCGGTTTCCTGCATGAATACACCTATCTCCTTTGTATTTAGCTCAAAGCTCACTTTTGCAATGAGGCTTATTAAGACTACCCTATTCAGACCTCAAATTCACTGACACTATGGCATTACTTTTTTCTCATCCCATGTCCCACCTTCCAGTACATCGCATGATGTACTTATTTGCCTTTTTTTTTTTATTATCTGCTTCCCTACACTATACAGACTCTGTTTGGTCTACTGATACACCTATCTAAAGCAATTAGAACCATGCCAAGCACTTAGTAGAAGCTCAACAAACATTTCCTGAATTGTAAAGTCATAGTTTAAACCAATCCTTTACCAATATTACCAACTCCCACCGTCCTTCCAATAAACAAGCCTGGAAAAAAATCCATTTCATGATTCAATACAAATATAAGGACAACTTATACCAGACTATATACCTGGACTGCTAGGGGCTAGCACCAGACAAAAACGCCATTAACTAAACAAATAGGTACATTCTAATTTAACTGTCACCAATCTCAGTTGAACCACAACACTCCTAGGCAAGCCTTCTCCATCCCTGCTTGGCTCTCTCCTCTTCTTCACTACCCCTATTTCAAACCTCCTCCACTATCATCAAATCAACCCCAGCACTGCTTTTTCTACTCATTCTTAGGAGATGACTTCAAATCCTACTTTAGAGAAATAAAGAAGCATTATAAAAGAACTACCTCAACTGTCCCCACATCACCTTGCTACAAACAATGTCTCAATAAATGAGGAAACTGAGGAAAAGAAAAATAAAATGTTTTGACCAAAGTTCCACAGCTAAAAGTGGCAGCACCAAAGTGTGAACTCGGGCTCATCTAACTCTAAAACTAGCCATACAGCAAACCAACATATCACTCTACCTCTTAAAACCCTCACCTTACAGATCAACATGCCACCCCACCTCCTAAAATCCTCAGTGGTTTCAAGTTCAAGGTGGTGGAGTAATGAGTTCTATTCCTGTGAAGACTTCAGTGAAACTGAAGTATTCAAGTTTTTTTTTTTTTTTTTTTTTTTTAAAGGTAAATAAGAGGAAGGGAAGAGCCACCAAAAGAGGAGAATTCAACAAATATCTAGCTATTAAAGAGGAGCTACATGCACAGTGATGTGTAAAACAGAGACAAAACTCAAGTGAATCTTGATGAGGCTTTGGGCCTGGCCATGAGGTATTGGTGAGGGCTGATGCTAATAGCCTGGGGTGAAAACAGAGGGTTTAACTGACTAGTTGTGCCCAGGCTAACTCAGCATTTACCCTCAGACCAAAAAAAAAATTTTTTTTTTTAATTTTTAAAAAATCCCAAGGGGCTATTTCTCTAGAAAATAAAGCAAAGGTTTCTGGTATAGGTGTTAACATCCTTACAGTAAAACTCTACTTTATTTTGTTATTTAGGGGCCCACAGACTAAAAGCATTCTGAAGCAAAGTACTTCAGTTCTGAATTCCCATGAAGGGCTAAATCTAACTCAGAAAAGTGGCTAGTCCTGCTTCCCTATACACTTACAGACAATAAAGGATCATCAGACATACAGGGAATACCACTGTCATGAAAAGAAATAAGTACCAGAGAAAACAAAGAGAAAAACCGACCTTGAAAGAAAGCTAAGCTGGGAAAGCTCAAGAAAACTTCACATTAAAAATAATAAACTAGTTTTAGAGTTCAACCCATGAGCAGTACCCAGAACACTTGGAGTTGCAGATAAAATGCAAACGTAAAAATCCCAAAATAAAAGGAATAACAAAAACATAAAATACGAGGCAGAACAGGCAGACATGCTGGAATTGGGGGGGAGAGTCAATATTTAGGGCAATACTATCTTTATCTTAAAAAGGAATCAAGATATTGACATAAATCAATAAACCAAGCAAAAGACAGACATTGTTAAAACTACAATAGAAGAATTCTAAAGGAAAAATACACATATAAACTGTTTAACAATAAGTAATGCAGGAAGAGATATGGGGAATAACATAAATAAGCTAAACCTTTATATCCCAAATCAGAAAATCAACAGGTCATTCAAAACAGAGAAGTCACAAATGATAAAGTTTAACATACAATACAGTCAGCCATCCATGTCAGTGGGTTCCACATCCAGATTCAACCAACCATGGATCTAAAATATTTGAGGAAAAACAAAACCAATGGTTACATCTATACTAAGCATGTACTGACGTTTTTCTTGTCATTATCCCCCAAATAATACAGTATAACAACTATTTGCAAAGGATTTACACTGTATTTCGCATTATAAGCCATCTAGAGATGATTTAAAGTACAGTTGACCCTTGAACAACATGGATTTGAATGGTGCAGGTCCACGTATAGAGGGATTTTTTTCAATAATAGTTATACTGAGTGTGCCTGCCTCTCCTGCCTCCCCTTCCACCTCTGCCATCGAGACAGCAAGACCAATCCCTCTTCTTCCTCCTCCTCCTCAGCCTACTACTCAACATGAAGACAATGAGAATGAAGATCTTTATGACAATCCACTTCCGTTTGATGAATAAGTAATTTTATCTTCCTTATGATTTTAATATTTTTTTCTCTAGTTTATTGTAAAAATACAGTATGTAATACATATAACATACAAAACGTGTTAATCGACTGTTTATATTCTCAATAAGGCTTCCAGTCTACCGTACTGATGGCAGCAGAAGCCAATCTGGAGGGGCTGCTGCCAAGACACAGGCTGCAGTAGGGCCAGCAAGAGCTGGGAACAGGTGGGAATCCCAATCCCCTACTGAGTTGGTAGAGGGGAGCCCCGCATTCCCAGGTACAGCTGCAGCCTCCTAGCCTCGGCTCCAGACCTGGGCATCCCTGCGTTCTTAGGGGTCCAGGAAGCCCCCCTGCCCTCACAGGCTCCTGGCCTCTCCCCAGCCCACTCCAGGGCAGAGCAAAGTTGTGGCTGAGCCTGAGTCTGTCACAACCTGGCCAAGTGTGAGCACACTCGAGGCAGTGCTGACATACCAGCCCCCTGCCGCCTTGGCCCACTCCAGACTTTGGGCACCGACAAGCATGGGAGGGAGGCCAAGAGGGAGTTGAGAGTGGCTCAGTGTAGGCCTGCAGGCACACCTCGTTACAAACAGCCTAGGTGCCATGGATGGCATGCTGATGGTGGGAGAAGGCAGAAAGGCTTCTGGGTAGAAAGGGGCAGGTCCCCCGTGAAATTCCACCTTCAAGCCAGGGGGCCTTGAAGCCTTGAAGCCCAGGGTCCAGGCCACCAGTTCTGGGTGGAGTCCGTGGCCTGGAGTAAGAACTTCCAGAGCTTTTTACGGGCCCGCCCACGGCACTTCCTCCCTTCTCAGCCCCTAAAAGCCCCAGACTCAGCCAGACTCACAGAGATGTTAGGACTACCAGCTGCAGGAAGGAACTACCCACTTTGGGTCCCTTCAACTCACCAGGATGACCTGCCTGTGGAAAGGAGCTACCCACTGCGAGTCTCCTCTCTGCTGAGATCTGGACACTCATTGGGATGACCTGCCTGTGGAAAGGAGCTAGCCACTTCGGGTCTCCTGAGGGCTGTTCTGCTGCTCAGTAAAGCCCCTCTCCACCTTGCTCACCCTCCAGTTTTCCGTGTACCTCATTCTTCCTGGACACCGGATAAGAACTCGGGACCTGCCGAACGGAGGAACTGAAAGAGCTATAACACAAACAGCACGGAAACATGGCCTCCTGCTTGCCATGTTGTGAGCAACGAGCAGAAGAGAACCCCCAAGCCAGGGCTATGACACCCTCTTTGGGGCTTTGCAGTTCCTGACATCTCCACTCTTCTGGTGCCACCTTGTTCCCCTCATCCAGATGCAGGTTCCCACAGCAGAAGCTTAATGCAGGACATCTGGTCCAGCTGTAGCCTTGCACAGAACCAGCACCTGTGCCAGTGCCTGGAGCTGTCCACCCTGCTACAGCAGCCGGGTGTGCAAGGTGGCTGGACCACATGCTCACACACCCACACATCCCTCACAACTCCACACCTGGCTCGCCCTTGGCAGGTGTGGGATCCAGGCTTGTAGTGTGAGCCAAGCACAGCATGCCAAGCCGAGTGGGCGGAACAAGCCCAGTGGGCATGGGCAGTACTCAGGCAGAAGGTGCCACCGGCCAACGTGATTTCTGGCTGGTGAAGCGACACCCCAAGGATCCTGTGACACTATTAGTAGTTAAGTTTTGGGGAGTCAAAAGTTATACACAAATTTTCAACTGCAAAGGAGATGGGCACTCCTCACCCCGCACTGTTCAGGGGCAACTGTATATGAGAGGACATGCATAGGTTATATACAAATATTACACCATTTTATGTAAGAGACAGGCTCCACAGATTTTGGTATCTTGGGGGAATCCTGGAACCATTCCCCACAGATATGGAGGGACCACTACATATTAGGAGGTACCTAATAATATAAATAATAAAAAAAGTATTTTTTTGAGTCAACACTCCCAATCTATCTCAGCTGTGCTCATCTGCCCACATGCTATAAAAGATGCTTTTATTCACAAATACGGGATTTTGCAGAAGGGGCTCAGGGAGGCCTTCCTTTCTGTCCACCACCTTCCCATACCACATTAACCCTGAAAATTATCTCCATATATATCCCAGCAACTCAATTCCTCCCAGACTTTCCTTTGCTTGCCTAGAATTCTGGTTCTAAAACACCTCCTTCCCAAATTTCTGTCTTCCAATGTGTCACTTAAAATCAAGGCAAGGACCAAGAACCAACTCTGCCAAAGCTAGCTGCTTCGGAACCAGACCTGTACTGCAGGAGCTCAAATGGCCCAAGGGACTTATGACGGGGAACTCTGAAATAAGGGACCTATATCTCAGCATTACATCATGAAATTCAATGGACTGGAAGTCAGACTTACACATATGGCCTGACCATCTGTCCAGAATTTGTGGGGGAAGGGGGAATTACAGGAACACTGGCTATTTTCCTGGGTTTACATATTTTCAAGTGATTTTAAAAAGACAAATGAGGATGGGTAGATGTTGTCCTATAGCTAAAAAGTTCCAATAAGGCCAGGAATGGTGGCTTATGCCTATAATCCCAGCACTCTGGAAGGCTGAGGTGGGAGAATCACTTGAAGCCAGGAGTTTGAGAACAGCTTGGGAAACAAAGGAAGACTCATCTCTACAAAAAATTTTTCGAATATGTGCCTATATTCCCAGCTACCTGGGAGACTGAAATGGGCGAATCATTTAAGCCCAGGAGTTCAGAAGCTGCAGTGAGCTATGCTCACACCACTGCACTCCAGCTTGGGTGATGGAGCAATACTCTATCTGTAAAGAAAAATTTTTTAAAAAAACACTTTTTTTCTTAAAGTTCCAATGAGCCAATAAGCTGGCTCTTGGGTCACAAAGAACTGGTTTGTCATCTCAGCTCTCTTTAGGCTTTCGTTTTCCAGCACATTACACTAAGAATATTAAGTTTTGTATTTCTGCTATGAAACTGTCTTGTGCTATACCAAGAGGAAATATTTTTACAGCTAATGCTGCTGAGAAGTTACATTTGGTATTCTTTCTTTTGCTCAGATCTACTAAGAAAAGAGAACTTATTTTGTGACAAGCATTAAACAGTCCTAATTCAGCATTTAATGAAAGTTAACTGCCGGTTAAGCAGAGATGAAATAACAAAAACTGCCTTCACACACGGACTCGCACCCAAATAAAGAGAATGCACTGTTATAGGAAGAAAGGTACAATATGGACAGGGGGGAGGGAAATAGGAGGACACAAACAGAGCGGCTGTGACCTTCTCACACTGTGACATAATCACATGTGACACAGCACAAGGGACAGAGTAGGCTCCTCTCCCTTAGCCCATGAAGGACAGGGGGACACAGGACCAAGACTTCTAGGCCTTGCAAAGAAATGGAAACTGTATGACATAACTTCCCTTCGCTAATACCTAGAAATAGATTTGGGAGAGAAAAGAGAACAAAGAAAGACGTGCACTGACACTCATGTGGAAATTAAAAAATAATCCTAGGTCCGTACTCCAAAAACACTTGCGAAAGTCAAATTCAATACAGCTATAAATTATCATGAATTCTGACTCCATGAAGTCCAAGTTCATGAGATATTTACTGTAACAACATAAAACAAAATGTCTACAAAAGAGATTTATAAATATTCTATGAACATATCTGTCCTCAATTTACCACCAGACTTAGAAGAAAGAGCAATCTTTGGAAACAAGACAAAGTAGGATTACCCTCAATTGTATGATTTCTAAACTGTGAAACATGCACCAAGATCTACAAGTTACAAACTGACAAATTACAAGTAATATAATCTCTCTAGAGCTCGGTTTTCTGCTCATTAAAATGAGAAAAATGGCACCAAATAATCATTGCTAACAATTTTGAGTGAACACCTTACGCATATCTCACAGCATCTTCGTTAATAACCCCATAAGGGAGATTCTGTAACAACCCCCTTTGTCAGATTTTTTTTTGGTTTTTGCTTTTTGTTTTTATGTCTTTTTCAGAGAGACAAGGTCTTGTTGTTATCCAGGCTGGTCTCAAATTTTTTTTTTTTTTTGGAGACAGTCTTGCTCTAGATGGAGTGCAGTGGCACGATCTCGGCTCACTGTAACCTCCACCTCCTCCTATGGAGGTTCAAGGAATTCTCCTGCCTCAGTCTCCCAAGTAGCTGCGATTACAACAGCTGGTGCAACACCATGTCTGGCTAATTTTTGTATGTTTAGCAGAGATGGGGTTTCGCCATGTTGGCCAGGCGGGTCTCGAACTCCTGACCTCAAGTGATCCACCTGCCTCAGACCCTCAAAGTGCTGCAATTACAGGCGTGAAACACCGCACCCAACCACTTGGTCTCAAACTCCTGAACTCAAGTGATCCTCCTGTCTCAGCCTCCCAGAGTGCCGGGATTATAAGCATGAGCCACTGTGTCCAGCCCTAACTTAGTAACCTCTAACCTCTCTGTAGTTTGGTTTATGCGAATGTGAAATAGGGAAGAACAGTAAACCTTACTTATAAAGTTATTGTGAGGATTCAATTAGTAATTGTAACTTAGAGTGTTTATAATGTACCAGACACTATTCTAAGCACGTTATTATTAACCATTATTATACTACCTCAGAAAAAAATATATAAAGTATCTACACATAATAGGCACTAAACGATTTCTATTTCTTCCCTAACCCACTCTGCAGAATCAACTACCTTTTGTTTATTTCCATTGTACGACAAAGAGACACTAAGGCGAAAGAAAAAACAAAACCAAAAATCTCAAGACACAAGTATAGCAAGAGAATTATACTCACAGTTCAGAAGGCCACAATAACTCTGAAGAAATCAAATGACAATTTAAAAAACAATTCTAATTTCTCTTTCCTCTTTCCATTGCAAAGAGAACCTGAAAGACAAGAGATATATATATATACACATAATAATATATTTATATATAAGATACATATAAAACCACCATTATTTCACTAGTTTTTTTCAAGGTTTTATTGTACTGTCCACCTTACAATCAGCTTCTTCACTGCTTACCATACATACTGTACTGGACCTTGAATGAAGAATAACAAATTTGGAAAAGCCCTGTCTTCAAATCCATATTTTAGTTGAAGGAAATATACATGAAATAACTAAGAACCATTAAAACATCAACAGGCATAATTAATCTGACATAAAGTTAGCTAACAAATTCAGAGGAAGATGGCAAACAGAAATATACATATCTATTTCACTTCCACTAAAATTATACAAGAGATAGATACAGTTTGGCTGTGTCCCCACTCAAATCTTGAATCGTAGCTCCCATAATTCCCATGTGTTGTGGGAGGGACCTGGTGGGAGGTAACTGAATCATGGGGGCAGGTCTTTCCCACGCTCTTCTCATGATAGCGAGTAAGTCTCACAAGATCTGAGGGTTTTATAAAGGGGAGTTCCCCTGCACACACTCTCTCTTGCCTGCTGCCGTGTGTAAGACACGTCTTGCTTCCCCTTCACTTTCTGCCATGATTGTAAGGCCTCCCCAGCCGTGTGGGACTGTGAATTCAATTAAACCTCTTTGCTTTATAAATTACCCAGTCCCAAGTATGTCTTTATTAGCAGTATGAGAACAAACTAATACAGACATATTAAAAAGATAAATTTAAAAAGCAAACCCACGGGCCAGGGAGAAATGAAAGAAAAAGTAACAGAATTTTTGAAGCTACAAGAAAAGCCTCTAACACCGAAGACAGAAACCAAACAAACAAGAAAACAGAAAAACTTGGAGGAAACAAACTATAAAAGATTGGAAGCACAGCAAATGACTCAGCAGGCCCAATGCAGCCAGACCAAGCCAGCAGCCAAAAACACTAAGAACCAATTCCATTTCCACAGCCATGTCGGGAGAAGGTTCAGAACTGGCAGCACTAAATGCAGACAGAACAAGGGGTAAAGAAGGAGGAGGCAAAAAGGATGGTGGAGGTTGGGTGAAGACTATCTACGATGCAGCTAAAGTCTCAACACCACGCCTTCATGGGACTCCCCAACCATGACAGAAGACTGGGGGCTCTCTGGAAAAGGAGAGCATCCTTAGACAAAAGCCACCCTGCCCAACTGGACAAAACAGAGGTCGATCTAGTCACTGAACACACATTTCAGCTCCTCCACCACCCTCTATGCACTCTCCTGCCAAACTTCAGAGAGTCAGGTCTTTACCCTGCAGGAACCTGATAAGTCTAAGAAGAAAGATCTAAAGATACCAACACTGGGGATTTCCCAACAAATGGGCCATCCAGAATATCCTGATGCAAAAGTCAGAGTCAAAAGGCTGAACTCACTTACTAAAGCTTCCGAAGAATTTTTTTGATTCACCACAAGGAAATGAATACCAGACATGTGAGAAATTTCTGTAACACAACAGATAGAGAACACGGGAGGGCGGGGAAGAGGGGAAGGAAAAAAAAGCCACTTGGGGGAAACAACACATTACTCATGTGTTTTAGTGAAGCTGGGGAAAACAGACCTACTGTGCTGCCAGTCGTTTAAAAGTATAGCACATACGATTACGTACAGTACATAACACTTTATAAACAACTATGCTACTGACTTATTTATTTACTGTGCACTTTTAATTATCACTGTAGAGTACACGACTTCTACTTATTTAAAAACAACAACAACAACTGTAAAACGGCTCAGGCAGGTCCTTCGGGAGGTATTCCAGAAGGCACTGTTAACCTAGGAGATGACAGTTCCATATGTGTTATTGCCCCTAAAGACTTTCCAGTGGGACAAGATACGAAGGTGGAAGATGTTGATATTGATGATCCTGACCTTGTGTGGGTCTACCCTAATGTGTGTATTTGTGTCTTCATTTTAACAAAAAAGTTTAAAAACGATAAATTAGGCCAGGCACTGTGGCTCACACCTGTAATCCTAGCACTTTGGGAGGCTGAGGTGGGCAGATCACCTGAGGTCAGAAGTTCAAGGCCAGCCTGACCAACATGGAGAAACCCTGTCTCTACCACAAACATAAAATTAGCCAGGCATGGTGACACATGCCTGTAGTCCCTGCTACTCCGGAGGCTGAGGCAGGAGAATCGCTTGAACCCAGAAGGTGGAGGTTGCAGTGAGCCGAGATCATGCCATTGCACTCCAGCCTAGGCAACAAGAGCAAAACTCCATCTCAAAAACAAACAAATAAATGATAAATTAAAATTTTTTAAAAATACAGAAAAGCTCATAGAATATGGATATAAAGAAAATAGTGGCTAGGTGCAGTGCCTCGCTCCTATAATCCCAGCACTTTGGGAGGCCGAGGCAGGTGGATTGCTTGAGTCTAGAAGTTTGAGACTAGCCTGGGCAACATGGTGAAACCCTATCTCTACAGAAAAAAATAGAAAAAATTAGCTGGGCATGGTGGCACACACATGCAGTCCCAGCTACTTGGGAGGCTGAGGTGGGAGGATCACTTGAGCCTGGGAAGGGGAGGTTGCAGTGAGCTGAGATAGTGAGCAAGACCCTGTATTAAAAGAAATATATATACATATATAATTGTATTGCCATACAATGTGTCTCTGTTGTAAGCTAAGTATTATTACAAAAGAGTCAAAAGTTTAGAAACATTTAAAAGTTTATGAAGTTACAGTAAGCTACGGTTATTACTAAAGAAAAATATTTTTATAAACAGTGTAGCTGAAGTGTACAGTGTTTATAAAATCTACAGTAGTGTACAGTGATAATCTAGGCCTTCACATTCACTCACCACGCACTCACTGACTCACCCAGAGCAGCTTTCAGTCCTGCAAGCTCCATTCCATTCATGCATGTAAGAGCCCTATAGGAGGCATATTTTTTAATCTTTTTTATCATATCCTTATTGTACCTTTTCTATGTTTAGATACACACATACTTACCACTGTGTTACAACTGCCTACAATATTCAGTACAGTAACATGCTGTACAGTTTTGCAGTCTAGGAGCAATAGGCTATACCTTATAGCCCAGGCATGCAGTAGGCTACCATCTAAATTTGCTGAGTACACTCCATGACGTTAGTACAACAATGAAATCACCTAATGCATTTCCTGTCGTTAAGTAACTCATATATAAAAATCAAAAACAGAATTACAAAACGAAAAAGACAAATCCACAGTGATAGATTTTATTTCATCTATCACTCATGAAATAGCAGTTCAAAGTCTCTTGTCCATCCTGCTAATGAGTGAACTACCTTTTTCTTGACATGTTACGTATTTTTTATGTAAACTCTGTTAGAACTAAGATTTACCAATATCTTCTCCCACTCTGTAATTTGCCTTTCACTCTCCTAATAATTTTTTGTTTTTGAGATAATGTCTGTAGGCCAGAGTACAGTGGTGTGATCATGCCTCACTGCAGCATCAACCTCCTGGGCTCAAGCAATCCTCCTGCTGTGGCATCCCAAAGTTCTAGGATTACAAAAGCCACGCAAAGCCTAATAATGTCTTTTGAGGAATATGATGTCTTAACTTTAATGTAGCACAATTCATCGATTTTTCTTTTATGGTTGCTTTTTGTGTCCAGAGATAATAAGATGTTATCCATCATTATCCTCTAAAACTATGCTCTCCAACATAGTACCCACTGGCCACATGCTAAGGAGCACTTGAAAGTAGGCCAAACTGAGATGTAAGTGTAAAACACACATTGAATTGCTAAAACTATGGTATCCTCACCCCCCAAAATAAAATATACTAATAATTTTTAAATTACTCGCAAATTAAAATGTCTTTGAGCATTACTGGGTTAAATACAAAGTATTATTAATTTATTTGTTTTTCCTGTTTAACTTTGGCTTCTAGAAAAATTTAAAATCACATGTGGCTCACAATATATTTCTATTAAATGCCGTTATACCAGTTTTATTTAATCTTTTCATATCTATAAATCCACTTGAAATTTTTTATTGTGTGAAGCAAATTATTATTTTTCCCTATACGGATACTCAAATGACCCAGCACCATTTACCAAAAAAGTATCTCTTCCCTGTTGCTCTACAGTGTGAATTTGTCACAGATCAATTGTCACAAAAGAATATATACCGTATAATTCTATTCCTATAAAGTTTAAAACTATACAAAAGTTAATCCTAATGTTTAGAGACACTTAATATGGAGTAAAATTATTTTTTTAATGGAAATGACTGTCACAGAAGATGATGGGAAAGGGAATAAAAGGCTGGCAATCATTTTTTACCTGAATGTGGTTACACACATACATATTTTTTAAACAAAAGTAGGCCAGGAACGGTGGCTCACACCTGTAATCCCAGCACTTTGGGAGGCCGAGGCAGGTGGATCACGAGGTCAGGAGATTGAGACTATCCTGGCTAACACGGTGAAACTCCGTCTCTACTGGAAAAAAAAAAAAAAAAATTAGCCGGGCGTGGTGGCGGGCGCCTGTAGTCCCGTCTACTCGGGAGGCTGAGGCGAGAGAATGGCTTGAACCCGGGAGGCGGAGCTTGCAGTGAGCGGAGATCACACCACTGCACTCCAGCCTGGGCAACTGAGGCAGACTCTGCCCAAAAAAAAAAAAAAAACCCACAGAATGTCCACCCTCCTTTGTAACATTCTCACTCATGGCAATCCTACAAACTTCCTGGCCCTTGTAGGTCCCCCCACCCAACCTACCTAGGCTTCCTCTGCTTGCCCTTTAAGTACTCTCCTGGGGACCCTATTCTTTGTGTTAAGTATATTCCCTTTGCAGTGCAAAAGCAGCCATAGACAATATATAAACAATTTGAATGCATCCCAATAAATACATATTTACAAAAGCAGATTTGGCCCATGTGCTATAGTTTCCTGAGCCCTATAACAGACCACTGATACTAATATGCATGAACCTTAAGGCCTTGCCTCTCCCTCTAATACAGCC